CCTCTCTGGACCTCAATTGCTTAATCTGTAAAATAGAGATAACAATAACACAACCTACCTCACAGTTTTGTTCTAAGCATCCACAGAGGTAAAATGCATTTTAAGAAGAATGCTATCTAAATGCTCCCTATTATTTCTATTTGTGCGGGTGGAGGGAGTATACACACTGATGAAATCATATCTACTGAACTATCTATGTATATTAGATGCTGTGGGTGTCTCTCAGTGGGTCTGAGCCTGTGACTGTGTGCATATATTTGTGTCAGTGTATCTGCATTTGTTTTTGTATATCCTGGTGTGTGTCTGTTATATCCTTGAGTATATCATCAGTGGGTGGGTGAGTGACACGTGACTCTGCCTCTGGGTACATGTGATGCTAGGATGCCTCAGCCCTAGTGCAAAGAGTGTGCCGACATTAAGCAGCAGATGGGGAGTGGGTGGCAGGTTGGTGATGGGCAGCAAACACAGACACCAAAAGGGCTTCTGTAGCTTCTGCATGCACTGCTGTACCCAGCACCCACCCACCCCACCCCACACATCTGTGTCTACATTTCAGTGACAGGCTCAGTTGCTAACCCATGCCATAGTCACCTAGAGTCTGGGTTGGCACTCCTCCAGGGCTGCCTTCTGCTCATCCACCCCCGCAGAGCATGGTCTTACCTAACTAACTAGCACTGGTCCAGGTGCTAGGTACTGGATGCTAGATGCTTAAGGCTATTCCCAGGGCCTGCCTTATAGAATTATGGGGTTTTATTGCTAGAAAGGATGTTAGAGATCATCTAGGCAAGCTCCACTTCCCCCTCCGCTTCCACCCCCTCATCCCCGACTTTTTGTAACAGGAGACACCAATGACTAAGGAGATCGTGACTTGTCCAAGGGCACATAGCTAGTAGGTAGCAGGGTCAGGATTTAAGACCATGTCTTTTGATTCCAAATCCAATTCTTTTTCTACTACCCCTCCTTGCTTTCAAAATGTCTCTGGGTGTCTGGGTTTCTAACATTCCTATGAAGTGCTTCAGTGTGATGTTACAGTGTCTATACTGTGTTCTGTCTGTATGTGCAATGGATCCCGACACAGGTGTGTATCTGTGTGTGTAAGAGACATATGGTCTCGGTGTGTATGCTCACATGTTCCCTCCTTGTCTCCCCCCCTCCCAGTCCTGTTTTTCTTAAGTTACATAAGTGTCTGATGGGCTGTGCCAGGACTGAACTATGGGCTCCCCCTGCTGATAGCCTTTAGAACTCACAAACTGAGGATAGAGAGAGTGCACCTTTCTTTGGGGAACCCTAAACAGACTCTCTGTCCAGCCTCTTGCTCCTCCCCACCCCCACCCCATGCCTCCATCCCTAAGCCATGAATTGCAGGGTTTCAAATTTGGCCTTTTAAAGGGGAGAAGAAGAGTCGGGGAGAGATGAGGATAAGTCATCCATCCACTAAAGGGAGCAGGGGGAGGAGGCAGATCACGACCCATCCCTGTTGTTTTTGGTCATTCTTGTTCACCTCTTTCCATAAATCCTACATGGAAGGTCCACTTGACATAACAGAGACCTTCCATTTGGGGGAGGGGGTCAGCAGGAGAACCAGACTGGTGATTCTACTGGCATAGAGAACTCCCTGTTGTTGGAACTCCCATTACCAATACAGATTGCTCTGTAAAACAGCACAGGAATTCTTAACTTGGGGGCAGGGGGTTTCTGTGAACTTGCTTTAAAAATAGTTTGATGACAGTATTTTTTAACATTCATTTTTAAAAAAATTTTGCATTCCAAATTCTCTCCTTCCCTCCATCCCCTCCTCCACCCATTGAGAAGGCAATAGGATACTCATTATACATGTGAAGTCATGCAGAATATATTTCTATATTAGCCATGCTACAGGGGGAAAAGCAAGAAAAATAAAGAAAGTGAAAAACAATATGCTTTAATCTGCACTCAGATTCTCTCTCTGCAGGTGGATAGTATTTTTCATCATGAGTCCTTTGGAATTGTCTTGGATCATTGTATTGATCAGAGCAGCTAAATCATAGTGGATCATTGTTACTGATGATTGTATCTCAATATAATTGGTTTCCTTTGTAATCCTATGAATTTTATTTTATATATTTAAAATATTATTCACAGTGCCTGGCACATAATGAATACTTGTTGGCTTGACTTGAGAAAAAGTCTATTTAGGCTTCACCAGACTACGATTAAAAAGGTTAAGGACCCCAGTCTTAGAAAGTTGGCTGGGGCCACTGAGAGGTTAAGTGACTTGCTCAGAGTCACAAAGTCTCTATGTGTCAGAGGTAAGACATAAAGCCAGGTTTTACTAATATAGGACTGGTTCTCTATCATGCACTATCTCTATATCATGCTGTCTTTGGCTCTTTTAATATTATTTCAAAACAGAACTTGGTCTTTTTATCTGTCATTTCTCATTCTCACTACTTGATCAGCCTACCTTTTTTCTGATCCTAATTCAATTCAATTAAACAGGTGTGTTTGAAGGGCCTCCTATAAGCCAAGCATTGTGCTAGATACTGGGGGTACAAAGATAAAAAAGAAATAGTCCCTACCCTCAAGAAGCTTACATTCTACTTGGGGAAATAGCATATATATATAGATAAGTAAATACAAACTATTTTTTCCCCAGGAGATGAGAGAGCTCTAATAACTGAGGGAATCAGAAAACAAAAACAAACAAACAAAAAAACCAACCTGGATAAGAGTTGAGCTCTGAAGACAGCTAGAAATTCCAAGAGGCAGAAATGAGATGGAAGAGCATACATGGAGTACAGACAACCTAGGCAAAGTCATGGAGGTGGGAAAGGGAATGCCATGTACAGAAACCCCAACTAGGTCAGGTTGTTTGGATTATCCTGTAAGAGAGTCCCTAGGGGGCAACCAGGTGGCAGCTAGGTGGTGCAGTGGATAGAGGCACTGGCCCTGACGTCAGGAGGACCTGAGTTCAAATCTGGCCTCAGACCAAACACTTGACACTAGCTGTGTAACCCTGGGCAAGTTACTTAACCCCAATTGCCTAAAAAAAAAAGAGAGTGTCCCTGGTACCATCTATTATGTTAACTTTCTCATTAAAAAGTTATTGTTGGCAATGTGCTATAGCATACACACTTTTACAAACTATGTCCCTTTCCATTGACCTTTGGAGTCACCATTTTGGTTTTTCTAAGATGGTGTTTCATGAGTCACCATCACATAATTCAATTTAATTCAACATTCATTATATAATAATTCACCAAGGAGAATATTGATATTAAAAAAGATGGGCTTTTGCAGCAGGGTGCAGCTCAGGATCATTAGGAGTGCTGCATTAATTTTTCAAATTCAATGCCAGAATGTCAGTAAAAATGAGGACTCTGCTCTTTCTGTCCCCTTAACCCTGGCTGGGTCCTAGAGGTGTCTGAAGGAGAAAAGGACTGGAGGGGATAAATAAGGAAGCTTTCCTTCCCTGTTCTGAGGTCTCAAGCTCTTTCTCACAGGCCTTCAGTTCTCAGCCACTACAGATACCTTTCTGAGGGAGACCCAGAGATGAAATTCTCCCTTTATTTTGCTTCCTCCCAGTTCTTATGACCCTCCTCCTCTTACAGTCACTTCTTGTCTGCAAGATTCCTGCAGCTCCAGAACTGCTTAGAGCAGGATTCAGTTGCCTATGTGCCTCCCATAGATGCTGATGATAAGGGGCCAGGCTATTAGTAGTGAGGAAAAACAAGGAACCAAATGAATCAACATTTATTGATCTTTTACTATGTGCCAGCCACTGTGCTAAGCAACGGGGGTACAAAAACAGAATCAAAACAGCCCCTGTTCTCAAGGAAATTACTTTCTAATGAAGGTGACAAAATGTATACACCAGTATATTCAGAATACAAGCAAAAGGAACACAAGGTAGTTTGGGGAGAAGGAGTCTAGCAGCTGGGGGTGGGGATGGGGGACGGGACCAGGAAAGGCTTCATGAAGAAGGGGGCACCTCAGAGGCATCTTGAAAGAAACCAGGGCGGGGCAGTGGATAGAGCACTGGCCCTAGAGTCAGGAGGACCCGAGTTAAAAATCAGTCTCAGACAAGACACCTGATACTAGCTGTGAGACCCTGGGCAAGTCACTTAACCCCAATTACCTCACAAAAAAAAAAAAGAAAGAAACCAGGGTTTCCACAACACTGATCTGGAGTCACAAGCCATCAGTTTGAATCCTAACTCTGCTCCTTGTTAAGTAGGTGACCTTCAACAAGTCATTGCCCACCTCTGAGCCTCAATCCTTTTCAGCAAAAATGAGGGGTTGAATTACATGATGTCTATCTCAGGTCCGTCTTTTCAACTTCTAAATCTTATGATTCAATGAATCACAAGTGCCAGACAGGAAGGAACCTAGACAAATCCTCTCATCCAGCCTGGGCCTTCAGGCAGCACCCTCCCCGCCCCATCCCGCCTCCGACGCAGTTCTTCAACCTATACTAAATTGCTGCTGTTGCAAAAGTTTCTTCTCTCTCTCTCTTTTCCTAGCAGCAATGGAAACCAAAAGCTGGGGACTTTCATTCTTCCATGAAGCTCTGAATAAGCTCTCAACCTTCCTTCTGAGCCTACCCATTCACTTACCCCAGACCCGCGGCCCCAGCCCTCACCCCACCTAGGTTCTCCCAGCCAGTTGGGAAGGCCCCAAGGCCCAGCAGGAAACAGCTGCACTCCAAGCTGGCCCCCAACCCCTCGCTGACGCCACTTGCTCTTAGTTTGTTCCTCCCCTAGCAAGGCGTCCGCCCCTCTCCTTAAGTTGGGGGGCCAGCAAGGACCTTGGGGCAAGCGGGAAGGGATTGGGGCGCGGAGCAGGCCCCGGGACAGGGCCCTGGGAATCAGGGCTGGAGAGAAGTGCCAACCATTGGCCCTGGAGAAGGGGAAGGGGAAGAGGCTAAGCGGAGGCGGGGCCTGGGCGGAGCCCTGCCGCGCGGAGGTGGGGCCGGCCAGGCCCAGAAGCTTGAAGGGAGGGAGAGGGAAAGCGGGAGGAGGAAGAGGAGGGGGGGAGGAGGAGGAAGAGAAAGGAGGGGACGCGGCCGCTCCGGCTTGGTGCACCTCACTCCCTCCAGCCGGGCATGCGCCCCCCGAGCCCTTGGCCCCCCAGAGCCCGAGCTGCCCCCCGGATCCTCCCCGGACTCTGCAGCGCGCAGCATGGGAGCCCCCGGGCGCACGCCGCGGCGGCTGCTGCTCCTGCTAGTGCTTGGTAAGAAAGAGGAGCCGCGGATCTCGCCGTGCTGCCCTACGTGCTGCCCGCCCGGCTCATCCCCCTCCCACCTGAACCTTGCCCCTTTCCCTTTCCCTGCGCCTGTTGCGGGCGGGCAACCTTGGCAGGGACCAGGGCATGTTCAGTCTCCGCTGGGGCCGGCGGGGATGGGAGGTCGTTTCAGCCCCTGTTACCTGGGGCCTTTAGCCCCGCACGGACTGTCCCCGGGACTTGTCCAGACCCAGGCTTGGGTGCGCGCAGGACTGTGCCCAACTGGCTTCTGTGGCCTCCAGCTGAGCCGATTAGAAAGAAGGTGCATTGGGAGGGAAAGGGGTTTCCCAGCTTCAGGCTCCTCCTCTCCAGCTGTTTGGTGGAGGACAGGGTGAGGAGCTAGTGAAGGAGTTACCCCACCGAACTATAGCTCCATGGCCAATCTCTGAGATGCCATGGGTAACCTCTCTTCCCCCCCCCCACCTCGGGTGCTCCTCTGTACCAGCATAGCCAGACCCTAGGAGCACTGCAGCTTTCTGTGCCTGGCTTAGGCGTGGGCAGTGCCCGCCCTTGTAATTGCCCCAGAGTTGGCAGGAGGCCAAAGGGCTGACTGCCCATAATCTTTGAAGTCTCCCCTAATTGCCCCCTTGACTTCAGTAGAAGACTGTTTCCTCAGGGACAGTGTCCCCTCTAGCATCCCCTCCCCTTTTTGCCAACTCTGGGTTCTGTCTCTCAGTTCCTTTTACTGTCCCAGCTTTCCAGACCCCTCTCAGCTTGGTACTCCTTTCCAGATCCCCATTCTCCTCTTTCTGCACTCCTCTTCTAACCCAAGGCTTCTCCTCTTTGAATTTTCCTCAGGTTCTTCACTGCTTCTCTAGTCAGCTCTCTCATCTCCCTCCCCTCTCCCCACTGTCCACACTATTATAGGTTTCTTACCCTTACTTCCCTTCCTGGACCATTTGTCCACTCCATTAACAGTTGCAGTTAAGTGGCTAGGCTCTGGGCAGTTATGGGGACTTTCTTAGTAACACAGAGCCTTGCTCTAATCCACCCCATCCTTGAATCTTACTGAGTCTGGGGCTCAGAATATGTTGGCAAGGAGGGATGTGGGGATGAGGGATCAGTCTCTGATAACATCAGCCTGGTCTCTGTGGAGTCTTTAATCCTAAGATCTCTAAGCACCATTTGCCCCTGGCATTGCAGTGAGTGGGGGACCTACCCAGTGCAGGCAGGAAATTTGGGCCTTGTGCCTTTCTACTCTCAAGCAGGGTTGAAAGGCTGCCGTGGGAACATGTACAATATGATATGATGCCAGTCAATAGCCAGTTCAGGTTTGTTTGGCCTGCATGTGAGGGCTTCCTGGAGAAGTCAGGGGTTGGGGGAAGTAAGACAGTGGAAGGATTGAATTGTATTTGAACCTTAGGAAAACTGATACCCCATCTCATTTTCCAGGATTTATTTCAGTATTTGAGTCTGAATTGATAGGGTGTCAGCAATAATTGTCCTCATCTCCTGTTTTTAGGGCAGAGATCTGCTGATGCTTCATGATGTCCCCAAACTCCTCTGCCTTACCCTCAGCTTGGCTGAGTGGACTCCTGGGTCATGATGGTTGGGGGAGGATGTCTTTTTCCTCCTTGCCTGTCCCTGGGGCTGGGCAGTTGGGGAAGTAGGGACCCATAGGAAATGGTTGCTTAGCACATAGCCTGCTTTTCCCAGCTGGCAGTATGATGTTCAGGCAGGAGTCCTAAGGGATTTTTTTAGGGGGAGGGGGAGGATGAGTATAGGAGGAGGGACAGGAAGTAGGCTAGGGTAGACCTTGTAATGGGTCAATTCCAAAGATGAGGGGTACTTTCCCATGGGGATCTTGAAGCATCAACATGCAGGTGCAGGGGAATGGGAGGGGGAAGAACCCTTCTTATAAACAGAAGGCCAAACCTGGTGCAATTGGGTAATTTGGTAGTGGTTGGGTCTCTTTATTGTCTCCCTGGTTATGAAACCAGCTGGAGGCTGGGCCCTTCTGACTCACAGACTCATAAAATTCTAGAACCCAAAGGGACTTGAGAAATAATCTCATCTAAATTTTATATTCTACAGATGAGGAAATTGAGTCCTAGAGTGGTGGGGTGACTTGCCCATGCTTATAGAACCGTTAATGTTGAGTTGTAATGGAATGGAAACAGTGGTATAAAGTGGAAAGAGAATTAAGCCTTACTAGCCTTGGGCAAATTACTTAAATTCTCTAAGCCCTGCAAAATTCGGATGATAATACTTACGTGAACCTCTCCCACTGGGCAGTTGTTAAGTATACAATGAGAAAATGCATGTAGACTGATTTAACTGTAAAGGCTGAGGTACTATTATTGCATCTACTAGTATCAATCAATCAACAAACATCTATTAAGCATTTACTCTTTGCCTGGCATTGATGCATTGTACCCCTGTGCCTCATCTAATCCTCCCCCTATTTTTTCGACCCTTAGGTGATCAAGTCAGGAAGAAGAAGCTGTCAATATTACAGAATGTTAGAGATGGTTAGGGCAAACTGAGAACCAAAGATTCTCAAGCCTCCTCATCAGTTCCTGGTCCTTGTTAGAATGTGGTGAATAGGAAGTGACTTCAGAATTCCAGGCTGAAGGGGCCTGGAACACTAGTTGATTAGGGGGTGTAAGAGCCCAGGTTTTTCTCATCAGTGGGGTCAGGCCCTGACAGTTCACCCTGAAATTTCATCAGCCTTTGTGTTTCCCTCCAACCCTAATATCCAGGGACACTCCCTTGGGAACCTGGAAAGGTGAGGATAACTAGAGAAATATCCTAAAGTGAGGCTGCCCTGGAACAGAAGGCCCTGTGGAAGAAATAAGGGGAGGGAACTGGCCCAAAGAGCTCAACAAGGAATGTCTTGGGGGGGTTGGGCAATCTGTGGGGATCCCTTCTTATCCCCTTCTCCCATGGGGGGAGGTGCTCAGCCTATGAGAACTTTAGAGAGAGGGTAAGGAGAGGGTTGATGTGAAGCTTGACATGAAATGAATATGTAAATTAATGCAAATCACCATGCAAGTCGGGCTCTATTGTTTAGGCCCTTGGGAGACAGAAGGGGCCAACAGCAGTAAGATAAGTTGGGGAGGCTGGCAGAGGGGTTGGGGAAGAGATGTCAAGATTCTCTGGGAGGGGAGGATAGCATAATGGCTCTCATGGGGGCAGGCTTTGGCATTGATGGCCTCAGCTGCAGGGGTATCCGTCTATCGAGGTGGAGAAATCAGTGAGCTCACCGTCCACAGCTGGAGAGGGTAGTAGTGGGGGACAGTGCATTGTCCCCAGAGGAGAAATGATTCCATCTGAGTCCAGGCCCTGCCCAGCTCGGGGCTACTGGCTCCATTGTTCCATGGCCCCAGGTGGCACAGCCCCTACTAATATGAGCAGCTGAGACAATGGGGCCTTCTGAACCAGACCTTCTCTCATTTCCCATCCTTTAAGGGCATAGGGGCAAGCTGGTGTCAGTGGAATACATGATAGGAAATGCCCATTCCCACCCTGGGAATCCCACAGTCAGGGAAACCCTCCCCCACCTCACAATGCCATCTCTGAAGGGGGCATGGTGATGGTAAACAGAACAGACAGCTCTAGGAAGAATGAAGTAGGGAATAAGTCTCTTCTGCCCAACAGCTTTCACTTGTGATTAAGACCCAGATGCCCTCTCTCCAAATATCCCCCCAGGTCCCCCGCTGGTGAATAGCCTTTGAGATCAGGGGCCCTGTCATTCTTGACATGCCCGATGTTCACTGCAGGTGTGTGTGGTGCTCGGGAGGTGGTGGTGCCTAAGGGACCTCTGTACCGAGTGGCAGGTACTGCCATCTCCATCTCCTGCAATGTCAGCAACTACGAGGGTCCCTCGCAGCAAGACTTTGAGTGGTTTCTATACCGACCTGAGGCACCTGAGTCAGCATTGGACATCATCAGCACACGGGACAGCCGCTTCCCATATGCTATATTTGCACCCCGGGTGGCATTGGGCGATATTCAGGTGCAGCGGCTCCGGGGCGATGCTGTGATGCTTCGGATCTCACGCCTGCAGACCCAAGATGCTGGTGTCTATGAGTGCTACACACCATCTACCGATGCCCGCTACCTAGGCAGCTACAGTGGCAAGGTGGAACTGAGAGGTACCAGGGCTGCTGGGGCATGTGAGGGCGGAGTGTTCTCTCTATTAAAGAATCATTGGTGTGGAAAGGACCTTAAAGATTGAGTGCAACTATTTATCAATGAGGAAACAAGCCCCAGCAGAGTTAAGGCTAGACCCCAGGCCCATGTCTCCTAGGCCAGTATTCTTTCCACACTACCATACTGCCTTTCAAAAGAAGTCACTCTGGTCATCTCTTCCCTTTTTGGTCTGGTTGGGGAAGCCCCAGGGAGTCCCCAGAAAGGGAGGGCTGCTGGAGTTTCTCTGCAACTTGGAGAGCTCTGCCCAGACTGGTTGGAGAAGAAGGAACTTTGCCTACCCTCTTAAGATTTTTCTTATCTGTTTGGGGTAATAAAACATACCTATCTACCTACATGCACATACATATATGTACATGTACATACATGTGTATGTATGTGTGTATAAGCAACCTAAGGTCTCAGTTTCCTTATGTGCACACCCACAATCCTCATCCTAGCTGTTCTCTCTTAGTCCTTCCAGATGTGTTGCAGGTGTCCGCCGCCCCTCCAGGGCCCCGAGGCCGCCAAGGCTCATCCTCACCTCCACGCGTGGTAGTGTCGGAGGGCCAGGAATTGGCCCTTGGCTGTGTGGCTCAGACGAGCACACAGGAACACACACACCTGGCAGTGTCCTTTGGGAGGGCAGTGCCTGAGGCACCTGTGGGGAGGGCAACTCTACAAGAGGTGGTAGGGCTTCGACCCGACCTGGCAGTGGAGGCCGGGGCACCCTACGCTGAACAGCTGACCACAGGCGAGCTGCGGCTGAGCAAAGAGGGTGCTGAACAGTACCGGCTAGTGCTGGAGGGTGCCCAGCAGGAGGATGCTGGCACCTACCACTGCACTGCTGCTGAATGGATCCAAGACCCTGATGGCAGCTGGGCCCAGATTGGGGAGAAGCGAGCAGTGCTGGCCCACGTGGATGTGCAGACCCTTGGTGAGTGTTCCTAACAACCCAGGTAGGCATCTGGCTTGGTATTAAAGTGGGCACAGCAGGAACTGGTGCAGGGATAGGTACCCATTGTGTTTCAGGTGCTAGAGTGAGCAAGATGAGCCCAGTCTGGTTCTAGAGACCCATTTCCTGGGGGGAGGGCAGGGTGGGTTGGCATTCATGCCCTAGTGGCCTGCTTCTGGGCCTTCCTCTGTGTGGGTAGCTGGAATTGGCAGTGGTCAGGCCTGAGGCACATGGCTTAAGGATGGAGGGAGGGCTGTCTGATGTAGTCTGTTCTATTTCTCCTTTCCTCATAACCACAAAAAGCCCCAAGAGGGAGGATGCGGGTGAAACCTGTCTTAAGGATATTATTTTGAATGAGAAACTCAAGTCATGATTGTGAGGTTGAAGAATCCTATGCCCTGACTACTTAGTAATCACTTCATTCTTCTCTGACTCCCCACTCCCACTCCATTGTATGTTTCAGCCAGCCAGTTGGCCGTAGTTGTGGGCCCTGGGGAGCGGCGGATAGGACCCGGAGAACCCCTGGAGCTGCTGTGTAATGTATCGGGGGCATTACCTCCACCAGGGCCTCATGCTGCCTATTCTGTGGGCTGGGAGATGGCACCTGCAGGGGCCCCTGGGCCTGGGCACCTGGTGGCTCAGTTGGACACAGAGGGCATAGGCAGCCTGGGTCCAGGCTATGAGGACCGACATATCTCCATGGAAAAGGTGGCACCTATTACCTACCGTCTGCGGCTGGAGGCAGCAAGGCCTGGTGATGCGGGCACATACCGTTGCCTGGCACGGGCCTATGTTCGGGGACGTGGGGCCCGGCTTCGAGAGGCCGCCAGTGTTCGTTCTCGGCCCCTCCCTGTGCACGTGAGGGAAGAAGGTAAGAAGGTGCAGAGGGACTGTGGGGGTATGATCCTCATCAGCATGACGAAGGCTCCTAGAGAGAGTTAGTCATCTGGAGGATGCCCTGAGACAGGTAGTAGATCACCCTCCAGAGATTTCCAGGAAAACCTTCCCTTCTTCTTCTGTTCAAGTAATATTTATCTCCACTGTTCATTCTTCTGCCAGAGTGATTCCCTCCTTGTCCAAAACTGGTTTATGCAGAATAATGGATAGAGCAGGGAAAGGTTAATATTCCATAACTTCCTGCTCCTCCCCCAAGTCCTCTAGGCATTTCCTGGGCCAGCAACCCCTGACCTTATGCTCCTGTGCCTCACAGGTGTAGTGCTGGAAGCTGTGGCATGGCTGGCAGGGGGCACAGTGTACCGGGGAGAGACAGCTTCCCTGTTCTGCAACATCTCTGTGACGGGGGGACCTCCAGGACTACGGCTGGCCGCCAGCTGGTGGGTGGAGCGGTTAGGGGAGCCCGGCCTGGTTCCATCCCCTCCCCAGCTGGTTGGTGGCATAGGCCGGGATGGTGTGGCAGAGCTGGGGATCCGGCCAGGTGGAGGTGCTGTCAGCGTGGAGCAGGTTGGGCCCCGAAGCCACCGACTGAGACTGCATGAGCTGGGGCCACAGGATGAGGGAGTATACCACTGTGCCCCCAGCGCTTGGGTGCAGCATACAGACTACAGCTGGTACCAAGCAGGCAGTGCCCGTTCTGAGCCCATCACTGTCTACCCCTACACCCTTCGTGAGTAACCTCCCTCAATAACCTTTATACTATGACCCCCACCCATTCAACTTTGACTCCTGCCCTTACCTTATAGGGCTATTGTGAGGAAAACACTTTGTTAAACCTTAGAGGATTTCTAGAAATGAGAATTATTTTTCAGCCTCTTAAATCATACCACGAACTGAAAGGGCGGAGGCTGCTGTATGTAGAGGGCTTATTGGGAATCAGAGGAGTAGATTTGGGGAAGACCAAAGCTACAAAAAGTGGGGGGAGGGGGCAAGAATGTCACTGACAGATCCTCTTTCTTTTCTCCCTTTTCAGCCCTGGATACTTTGTTCGTGCCCCTGCTGGTGGGTACAGGGGCTGCCCTGGTCACAGGCATCACCATCCTTAGCACTGTCACTTGTTGCTTCATGAAAAGACTGAGAAAGCGGTGAAGCCTAACCCCACCATGGTGAGGTCCTAGGACCCCCGGAAATAATAGCTATCCTTACCCTCCTGACCTTTTCCCACTGGAAGAGAGCCTATGACATTGGGAGCCTTAGTTCTACCCTGTGTCCTTGCCCCAGGATCTCACCTGTCCATTTAAGGCTCTTTTCCTTTGAGGTATCAGGCTATGTACAATAACAAGATTAGGTGGGAGAAGAAGCCCAAGCTCACCTTTTACATCGTCCCTCAACTCTTTCTCTTGTTTCTGTAGGTACAAGCTGTCTTTCAGCCCAACTCCCAGCCCAACATCAGTTGCCTAAATTCCTCTACCCTATACCCCCGATCTGGCCCTTCTGTCTCCTGCCCTTTTTATTTATTTGGAGGGACCAGGATTTCCCCCTCTGCTCTGCCAGGCTGGGAGGTTTTCCAAAGCTGCAGGCACAGCCCCAATCCTTCTACTTGCCTCAAGTGGAGATCAGTACCCTCCTCTCCAGTGCCCCCCAAAACCTGGCTCTTTTCTGATCTTTCCCCCTTTCCATGGACATGCCCTAACTCCTTACCCCAAAACTGGTTTTTCTAAAATGTGAATAAAGTTTTTTTTTAAATAAAATCTTGTCCTGGGCATATCCTTCTTTCTGTTCCTAAGGAGGTAGAAAGAATTAGTGTTAATGTATATGTAGAGAGGGCCATAGATGGGAGATAGTAAAGACTGACAAGCTATAAATTAATGGATCAATATCAACCTGGAGGGAGGTGTCCAGTAGAGTTCTCTATTGCTCTGTTTGGCCCTATTTTGTTCAATATTCTTATCAGTTACTTGCATCCAGGTACAATTTTGGCATGACACAAAGCTGGAAGGAAGCAAATATCTTGGTTAGCCAGAATCAAAGGCCACAAAATCTCCACAGACTGAAATGGGTTGACAGTAACAAGATGAATTTTAATAAGGACAAATATAAAATCTCACCCTTAGATTCAAAAAAAGTCAACTGTATAAGAATAGGAAGGGGGAGATGGGGCAGTACTTGTGGGAAAGATCTTGAAATTCCAGGGGATTGTAAGTTTGGTAGAGTCAGCATTGTGATGATGTAGCTAAAAAAAAATTAGGTTGCCTTGAGAGACAGTGCCCAGAAGAGGGGGTTATAGTCCCATTGTACTCTGCCTGGGTCAGACCCATCTGGAGTATTGTGGCTAACTTACTGTGCCACATTTTATGATAGTCATTGACTGACAAAATCAAGGATGCCCTAAGGTGGATGGAGGATGGTGAAGACCCAACATCATAGCATAAAAGATGGGTTGAGGAAACTGGCATTATTTATCCTGGAGAAAAGAAGGCTTGAGAAGGACTGAGTTGCTGTTCTCAAGTATCTGAAGGGTTATCATTTGAAAGAATGTTTAGGTTGCTGTATTAAGCCATGTAGTGTGGTGGAAAGATTATTTGGACTTGGAGTGAATCTGTATTCAGATTAAACATATTAGCTGTGTGATCATAGAAAAGTTCATTGACTTCTCTAAACCACCACTTTGTTATAAATGAGGATAACCATTACTCTAGAACTTACCCCACAGGGCTATCAAAAGGAGCAAATGAGCATTTTGCAAGCCATAAAGCAAAGATAGAAATATGAGCTACTATTAGAATTGGACCCAGGAGGCAAAATTGCATTGAATGGGTGGGAGTTTCAGGGAGACAGATATATGTTCAATGTAAGAAAATTCTTTCTAGTAACTGCATTTATTCAAAATAGCTTAAGTTGGCCCTGATATTCTAGAATCAGAGGATAAAACAGAAATTGAAAGAATCCACCAATTAGCTACTGAAAGAGATACCAAAATGAAAACTCCCAGGAATATTACAGCCAAACTCCAGAGCTCCCAGGTCAAGGAGAAAATATTGCAAGCAACCAGAAAGAAATACTTCAAATATGATGGAGCCACAGTCAGGATAACACAAGATTTTAGCAGCTTCTACATTAAAGAACTGGAGGGCATGGAATATGATATTCTGGAGGATAGAGAAGCTAAGATTACAACCAAGAATCACCTACGCAGCAAAACTGAATTATAATCCTTCAGGGGAAAAAAATCCCACAGATACTCAATGAAAAAGAGGACTTCCAAGCATCCTTGATGATAAGACTAGAACTAAATTAAAATTTGATTTTCAAATACAAGAATCAAAAGAAGCTTAAATAGTAAAGAGAAATCATAAGGGATTCAATTAGGTTAAACTGTTGACATCCCTACATAGGAAGATAATACTTGTAACTTCTAAGAATTTTCTCATTATTAAGGCAGTGAGAAGGAATACATATAGACAAAGACACGGGTGTGAGTTGAATATGATGAGATGATATTTAAAACAAATTAAGGAGTGAGAAAGAGGAATGCACTAGGAGAAGGGGAAAGGGAGAGGTAGGATGGGGTAAATTATCTCACATAAAAGGGGCATGAAAGAGTTTTTACAGTGAAGGGGAAGATGGGAGAGGTAAGGGCAAGCATTTGAACCTTACTCTCACCAGAATAACACACATTCAGTTGGATATAGAAATCTTTATTACCCTACAGGAAAGTAGGAAGGGAAGGAGATAAGAGAAGGAGGTGGGGGGAGGCTAATAGAAGGAAGGGCAGATTAGGGAAGGTGGTAGTCAGAAGCAAAACACTTTTGAAGATGGACAGGGTGAAAGGAGAGACAGTAAGATAAATGGGAAAAACAGGATGGAGGGAAATACACAGTAATCATAACTGTGAAAAAAATTTTATAGCAAGTTTCTCTGATGCAAGCTTCATTTCTCAAATACATAGAAAACAGAGTCAAATTTATAAAAATAAGAGTCATTCCCCAACCAATAAATGGGCAGTTTTCAGATGAAGTAATCCAAGCTATCTATAGTCACATGAAAAAATGCTCTAAATCACTATTGATTAAAAAAATGCAAATTAAAACAACTCTGAGGCACCTCCCCACACCTATCAGATTGACTAATAGGACAGAAAAGGAAAATGATAAATGTTGGAAGGGAGGTGGGAAATTTGAGACATTAATGCATTGTTGATAAAGTTGTGAACTAATTCAACTCTTTTAGAGAGTAATCTGGAGCTATACCCTTTGACCCAGAAATATCACTACTAGGTCTGTATCCCAAAGAGATAAAAAAACAAAAAAGAAAAGGACCTACATGTACACAAATATTTTGAGCAGCTCTTTTTGTGTTGGCAGAGTTGGAAATTAAGGGGATGCCCATCATTTGGGGAATGGCTGAACAAGTTGTGGTATATGATTGTGATGAAATACTATTGTACTATAAGGGTTGACAAGCAGGGTATTCTCCGAAAAACCTGGAAAGACACGAAATGATGCAAAGTGAAATGAGCAGAACCAGGAGAACATTGTACACTGGAGCAGCAACACTGTACAATGATCAGTTGCGAATGATTTAGCTATTCTCAGCAATAAAGACTTATGATGAAAAAATGCTCATCATCTCCAGGGAAAGAACTGATGGAGCTGAATGCAGATTGAAATATAATTTTTAAAAAATTTTCTTTATTATTCTTTTTTTTGGCCTATGTTTTCTTTCACAATATGAATAATATGGAAATAAGTTTTGCATGACTACACTTGTATAACCTATGTCAAATTGCTTGCCTTCTCAATGTGGGAGGGGAGGTAGGGAAGGAGGAAGGGAGAAAATTTAGAATGTCAAATTTAAAAAAATGTTAAAAATTGTTTTTAAATGTAATTGGGGAAAATAAAATATTACATAAATCTGTTTTAAAAAATAAATAAATAAAAAGCTGAATAAAAAACCCAGCATGAGTTGCCTCAGGAGGTTATGAGTTCCTCCACAGTAGAGGTGTGAAAGTGGAGGCTGTATGTACATTTATTACGGATGTTGTAGAAAAGCCTTATGTTTTCCACTGAGGTTGATGGTCTTTAAATTCTTTAAGATTTCCCCCTGGATGATTTAAGCCCCTTTTCATCACACATACCATCTGACCTCAGTCCCTTGCACTCTGCCAAGGGGTGACCCCTTAGTCACATCAGTGTTTGTTTATTGGGATTTTTTTTTTTCACATCAGTCATATGAGCTATTATTGTTCAGGTGAACTTTAACTGGGCTCCAAATACAAGTGGGAGTGGAGATCAAAGACCTGCCCCAATTCTGTTGACCATTTCATTCAGCTTTGGGCCCCAGCTTTTGGGGTCCAAAAATCCTTGAAGCAGCTCCCTACTTTTATATAGTCTCCAATTTTGCCCTTTCCACCCCATAGTTCCCATCTCCTGGACCCTGGACCTGATGCAAGGCCATCTTCCTTCATGACCTTCATTCTGCCTGTGATAACAATAGAAGTCACTGATGGTAACTTGGGGGATGGAAGAAAGAGAACTAAGGGCAACTAGGTGGTGCAGTGGATAGAGCACTGGCCCTGGAGTCAGGAGACCCTCAGTTCAAATCTGGCCTCAGACCAAACACTTGACACTTACTAGCTGTGTGACCCTGGGCAAGTCATTTATCCCCCATTGCCTAAAAAGATTTAAAAAAAAAGAAATAGAAGAAAGAGAACTAGAATCTACAGTGGGTATGAGTATGAACACTTCTACTTCTGCTCTGTGTATACAGACACACAAACACCTAGCTCTGCTCCAGCTCTTGAGGAAATTTCACAGATGGCTCCACCTCACAGTTCATTCTAAATGGATTTTCCTGTACCCAGGCAACCTAGAGGGTCCCCTGAATCTCTGCTTTTTTGGAGTGAGTTTCCACTCACTTCCCTGATCACAGAATTGAATGTCACAGCTAGAAGAGATCATCTCATCCAAGCCCTCTTGTTAAAGATGAGGAAACCAAAGCATAGACAAGTTAAGTAACTTGTTCAAGGTCACAAAACTAGTTAGTATCAGAAAAAGGCCTGCTCTCCTGGTTCCCAATTCGGTGCCCTTTCCACAACCATGGTGCTCAGCTCAACGACTGAACTAAGAATCACACAATCTTTGAGTTGGGAGGGATGACAGACATATACCCTTTAACCTGAGTAGGAATTGCTTCTATGATATTGCTTCCAGTGATGGTGATATCTCACCTCATGAGGGCAAGTCATTCCACTTTTGGATAGCTGTGAGTATTTTTTCCCTTGTACTTAAAGATATCTATAATCTCATTCACGGGGATTTTTCCTCCAACAACATAGATCACAATTCATCCATATCTCGTATTCTATGAGATTCCTATCCATGTCATGTCCTTCCACTTGTTTGCCAGCAGGGGTCTGACCAATATACTGGGGACCTTCTTGGCTTTCTTCTGAAGTGAAGACACAAGTGTAGCACATGGGCTATCCATAGGACACCCCTTCCTCTTGCCACATGATCAGTCCCTCTTCTCTTCCTGTCATACAATCCTTTGATGATGTCTTTTATTCCTGTTCACAGTTCCTCATTGTTTATACATTGCAATCTATTCACATCTACCATGCCCTTCTCCATTGCCCTTTGGGTGGTACTCATCTATGTTCCATGTCTTGCTTCCTATAGCAACACCACTAAAATGTCCCACTGATTAAAAAAAAAAAAAAAAAAGGACCTTTACTTTCCTGGGA